AAATCAAATGAAAAATGACAAAATGCAAAATACAGAGCAAACTTGTACAAAATAGAATAGTTAAAAAAATGTTGAATCTTAACAGGAAGAAATTGTCATCGATTGGCAAACTAAATACCGACTTTTTTAAGTATCAGTAAAGGTACGATGTGACAAACAAATTGCTTGTACAAGCTTCTTAGAAAAACTTTAACAGTGGGTATCAACGGAACCAAATAAATCGTTGGAATTTCCAGGTTGCAAAAAATAAACAAAAACTTGATGAACGCTCGACTAAAAATATCTTTTGCACACTGTGAGCAATTGTTAAATTATTCAGAATCGTTGGAGAAAAAATTTCTAACTAATAAGAGTCTGTCCACAAAATATTCTCAAAAACTACGGTTCCCAGTTCTATCTGAGTCAATTGCACTGATGTCCCACTTTTTGGTTCCGCTTCAGCGTAAAGGATGGTCAAGAGCGACATCCTGAATGATAATTTTATAAAAGCCTTCGATAAATTAGTCTGCTGTTCAAAGACCCTCTTAAAATCGCCATGCCAAAAACAAAACGCTTTTTTTTCCTCGACAGTTCTAAGCACAAACATGCCCCTATAAGGAAAAAAGCAGTTTAGTACAATTGGCATGATTTTGTGCAAACGTCGAAAATCGACAACGGGAATTTTCCTCGTATCCAAATTGCAATTTTACACCTCTATTTTATTTATGGCATGATTAGTAACTGAAATATTATCGACTTATCCTCAACAGCGCAACATGTAAAGGCAAAGAGCTTCGATTTTAGAATTATTCATCATGCTTCTCGGTTTAATTACCTGAATGGTACAATGGTACTCTAAAAATTACACTAAAGATTGAAATAAATTCAAATTTTTCTAGTAGAAATCTATTACCACAAAAAAATTACCAGGATTTTGTTGAAAATTGACACGTTAAATGTTTTTTTAATATTCTTTTGCGCATGAAAATCTCGTGGTAATTATTTGGGGAAATAACCTCCAAAGTCTTTTACATGTCACAACCAGCATTACCTTGACATTAGCGGTGAAATGGATATCCTAAATTGTCACACTTGAGTAAACATTACCGACTACTTTCGAAGTGACATCACCAACATAATATGTCGAAGTAGTATTTATTTCAAGTAGGGGGCAGAAGATAAATCAATTCAACTTACCTCGACCAAGATAATTTTCCACGAGATCTTAAGCCCGATCAAGCAGCAGATCCTTGCGTGCAGTCAACGAAAAGGTAAGAGCACAAGTTAAATACAAATTCAAGGAAAATAACTCACGCAAACTACAGCGTGACTACTCTGTCTAGTTTTCATGCAAATTTTCGTCTCTGAAACACGACATTACGTCAACAAATGAAAGATCCAGAGTCAGTCTTCTCTGAAACCATTAAAACGATAATTTAAAGTTTGTATCCAGAAAATATTCTCTCGCTTATCGAGTTGTATTGATATTTATAGGATTCGGAAATAATTTTTTGGGGAAGCTTGCACCAGGGTGCGATGTGAACAGGTTCGAGAACACTCAATACGAAAACACGACTAAAAAAAAAGTGAACAAAATCTTTCAAACTTTTCGATGTTTAAAGGTTTGACAAATAGAACAAACATGCTCGACTGCTTTTGAGTCTTGATTGTAATCGTTTCGTCGGGAACTAAGAGGAGGAAATCGATGGAGCCCAAAAGTCTACGAGCATAATATTCCATGGGTAAAGCTAAAACCTCAAGAGCAAAAATCAAAGTGAAAAATCTGTTTGTCGATATGGGCACAAAACCTCAAATTGAATATGAAGACCCAAATCTTCAAATTGGTGTCGATTTTCGCACGAGGTTTAGGAGGAGGCGTAAAAAAAATTCGGTTACTCCCTCGATATGACCTCAACTCTCATGGGAGGCAAACTTTGCTTTACGATTAAAGGAAGTAAGTTCTAAAGAAACTGTGGTGCTGCGTCGGTGAGAGAGTAAAACGGGTTTAATTTAGTGTTATCAACTGAGTTGATAACGTAAATTGGCCACAGTAAAGAGTTGACATTTCGAGCGTTAGCCCTTCGTCAGAACGATGGAACTTTAGACGAAACTTTGCGTTACGTCATTGTTTGCGCTGCTCTCAAAGACATCAACACTTTTTACATCGAAATAAAAGTTCGAAGTCCTGCTCCAAGGAAAGTTTTCACTTTTCTTCATTCTTTTCTTCTTTAAAAATATTCACGCTGCTAAAAAATTGAACTTGAATTTTGATTTGTTGCAAATGGTAAGATGACCTCCTAGTGAATTTGCAGGTGAAAACCGAAATTAAAAAATTTTCCCTCCAAGTCTGTCTCGTTGTTTTTTTATATTTTCCACATGAACGTGCAAGTATGAACGGTTTCCACCTTATTTGCATGTTTTGTTTATTTTTGGTCAAATGAGACAAACCTGTCAAACATGTTTCCAAATTTTTCCAAGCGAAACTCATATCTGACTGAAGTTAACTCAAATTGAATCTCTGATGAACAAAGTCGCAGGTAAATTGTACCTCAGACTTTGGGGTTTCATAAGAGTCGGTGGTCTACCGCGGCCTTTATGGCCTCGTTCCGACCACCGTCTGTTTAGTTTGCGAGCAGGCGTCGTGTTTGAGTTTCGCCTTCCAGCCCCTTTGCGGGCACAGTTGCCTATCACAACATTGACAGCCGCTTGTGGAAAAAGTTATTTAAACCTCTACAGACTGCAGAGGTAAAATTAAAAACAATTGATGTGGACGTAAATTAAATCATGCAGTCTCTAAGCTTTTGAGTTGCACCATTTTCCAAGTAGCGATTAAATTGAAATGTAAACCTTATCCTTTTTTGGGCACAAGCATTCAGTTTTCGATTCAGCTGACATGAATTATCAATAAATGATGTACTTAGACGAAAATAACAAATGAAAACCTGTCATGATGAAGCTATTTATTGACTACCAACTAAACGATTGTACTTTATCGAAAATGCAAACGCTGCGCGCAAAAACAAAGGGAAATTCCGGTCAAAAAGAAAGCTTAGCTTCTAACACTGTCTAAGCCTCAGAAATCTCAACTCAGCAACTAAACCCTGCGCAAAAAAAAAGAAATGATTAGGAATCATTTTTTGCCAGCCAAGTCCTCTTATTTCATTTCTCTAAGGGCTGTTAAAATTTAACATCCTCTATTAAACTGCGGAACACGTTGCATCCCACGCCACTATAGATAGCCTCCACATCTTACCGCTGTTCGCAAGCGAAAATTCAGAACGTTAATATTTTTTATTGGTAATTCTTGTGAAGACTCAATTCAGAATGTATTATGGCGCCAAAAACTTGTTCCAGCAAGTTTTGACAGACTAATGCAGTATATGTAAATAACTCGGCCCAAAACATGTTTTATATCCCATCTCAATTTGGAATACGCACTACAATACGAGAAAAAATTCAATCTTATGGTGACAAACTCTTTACGCCGATCAGGAAACAGGGTGAAATCCTGTTGATATGTTGAGAAAATTCCTAAACCCAAGACATTAAGCTTGCAAAATTGCTTTATTAAATTCTACAAAAAAAATTATCTCCAACGATGTGGCAAATTTATTCTGAAATCACTTTTGATTTAAGGAGTGTAGGGGTTTTCCCTTTCGCAGGTTATGGCTGAGTAAGCTATAAAATTAGTAACATGTAAACTTTTATTCAAAATTTTGTTGTTTGCTGAACTGTGTCAAGGTTCGAGCAGATTACTTCAAAGGAAGACGGATAAAGAACAGGAACTAGTTCAAACTCTTACGAACATTTTTCGGATAGGTTAGAACAAATTATTCAGTAACACTTAGCAAAGTGATGGCGCTCTCATCGCTTAAAAGTTCTACCTTCGATAAAATCATTGATAGACAGCTGGCAGATTACATCCGAGAACCCATTCTTTTTTTCCGGAATTTACGTCTTTCAGACGCCAGGAAACTTGAAATTTACCATAGAAATGAAGACGATAAGTTCGAGCGGTTATTCGATACCCAATTTGGAGGTTTGGCCGCAAATTATAAAACGGGACTGCGTCAAAGAATTTCTTTGTTGTAAAGTCAGTTTATAGCAGTACAACAATAACCACTTTCTTTCCTTTGCGGTATTGCAGCTCACATTCGCTGTACCGCTTGTGTGTTTCCCTAAGAATTGGAAACCATCCAAAAAGTCTTAACTCTCATTGTATAGCTTAGAAGGGTGGAACCTCCTTATTAACATAAAACTATTGTTCTCTCAAAGAAATTAAATATCGGCGTTTCCTTCCGAAATGTTAACTTTTTTAGCGCTCCAAAACCGCAGCAAACTCCCAATGCGTTTCCAAGCAACGCGCGGTTTGCCGAAAAACTTACGTGGTGAACGTTTAAGATACTGACAAAGCATAAATTAAGGTCAAGGTAAAAGAGTCGAGAGAAAGTCAGAAACTGTCAACGATAATATAAATTGCTTTCTGAGACAATGAAAATTTTCCTTTCCTTTTTAACACCTGTCATATGCTAGGCTGGTGGTAAGGGGTTGTACGGTTTAGTGGCTCGCTAATTGTGCCCCCAAAAGATGTTTTCCTGGCAACCTGTCCAAAAATAACCTTCGAAATTTATAGCACTCAGCACATGCTCAGTGAGGTTTGCTATCGGAGCACGTTTTGTAAAGCAAGCCAGGTGTACATTTTTAAGATTCTTAGTACATTAAGTCACCGTTATCATCTCAAAATTAACCTTCGAAAAATAAAAGCGATTTTTTTTGAGCGATGTGTAAGCCTGACACAGCATTAACTTAAACTAAAGGATAAATTGGTCGAAGCATTTTCTCACTCAATTTTGCGGTAATGACATAAAAACAGAACTTTCTGATCATGACAAAAAACCCATTACAATTTTTAAGGTTCGATTTCTAAGAGAATTGTGGCGATCGTAAACCGGAAATACGTAAGAACGCATTTTTCCGGTTGTCAGCCATTACATCATTGCGAACGACAGATAAAACGAAGTTCTTTGTTTACTGCAATCAGATATCCTTAGGCAGCCCAGCGTTTAGGTCAGTAAAGCTTGAAACTCTCAGCTATTAAGATAGGAACAACGAGAGTCTACCAGGGACAGCTGTTACATCAGCTTAATATCTGAGGTAAGGATAAGCAAAGCGAACTATTCCTTCAAGAAAGCGCGAGAAGTTTTAATGTTTTATTCCTAAAAACTGAGTTTATTTGCGGGGGAGGACAGACAGCTACCTACCCACGTTTTTTCTGGTAGATATAACCGGATTAAACGGTCGTAGTTATCCTCATTGTTTTGCAGTGTGTTTCAAATCAAGTAAATACTCATTGTAGGTGAAAACGGGATTTTTTTCGCTGATAAACCGAAAGAAAATTTTCTTCTAAGAATTTACCGCCCGCTTAATCACACTTCGTCTCGACATTAACGTTTCTCCGGCAATTAAGGGTACCTGCCGCTTATCAATGGCAAAGGGAAAAATTTAGCGTTTTCACCACATTAAAATGGAGCCAGTTTTGTAGATTTGCTATTGTATAAACTGTGAAAATAACCTTCAATTTTCATTTGAAGTTCTAATCATAACAAGAAAGAGCTTATACACAAACGCTTGATTAGGATCAAGTTTCCAAAATTAAACTCGTCAAACGAAAGAGAGTCTATTATCCGGCTCCATTCAGACTTGCTGTGTTCGCCGTGGTTACTTTCCGGTCCTGAAGAAGTGATAAAAGAAATGTTTCCGAAAAAAACTATAAATGAAAAATCGGTGATGGAGTCAATTACGATAAATGGCTTGTGGGTGAACGCCTTGCTATGCTGACAGCTATACAAAGGGCACCAAATTACAGAACTACACCCTTTCATCTCTAATTTGCTCCATAAGTAAGAGGGTCGGCAACGTTTTTTTGGTCAAAGATCATCGGATTTTGAACTTTGAATTTTGAAGTAAATTTTTTTCAACAAGAAACAGGGCGTTGCTTTGCATTTTCTACTTTAAGATTCTAAAATTACAAATATTAAAATGAATGGAAAGAAACAGAAGGATGTTCTTCCACACTGTAAAGAAAAGCAAATCTGCATAAAGAATTAGAGTTTAACGCTGCGTCATTTTAGTCCAATCACGCTTACGTGCTTAGGATCATTTACACATCTTGAGGTAAAAGATACACGTTAACCTCACCAACTCTTCCTAAAAGGAAGGTGACGTAAAAGACTTATTAATGACCCACATTGGCGAAAAAAGACTACATCAGTGACGTTAATACTGAAATTTTCTACGATTGCAAGGATAGAGACACAACCCATTTACTGACATATTTTCATTCGGAGCAAGTTTGTTTACACACAAGCCAGGTGAATGAATTCAGGCACTTGAGAAGTTCTCAAGATAAGAAATTTTGATCGTAGGTAAAAGAAATAAAACAGACAAAGAAAACCCCACGTAGTTAAGGTAATCTCAAGTTACCCTGATACGTCAGGAAAAAATTCCTAGAGCTGTCGAACTGCTTAATTTGAAGTAAAATTAAGACAACTTTGAATCGACTGAAAAATGGTTACAACTCAGCTGCATAATTTCTTTCTTCCCCTCAGAGTTCGATTTAGTGGTGATCTAATCTTAAGTTCGAAAAGGAAACAAACCGCAGCTTAAATCTTTAGCGTTTTGAGTGAGCACATGATATCTTAAAAGTAGGAATGATTTCCTTTTGTAACAGTGATCTGATTAAGGTGTTAGCGCAAATGATACCTTTGGGTCATCAATCCTTTATGCCAAGATTTTCTGGTCACTTCCTCGGTCACTAACTTATGAAATCTTTTTATTTCTGTTTGTTAGGTGACAACAATAATAAAGCTTAGAAAAAGTCATGGGATTCTCAGGTCTTCTTCGTCGAAACAGCAGCCGCAGACGAAGCTTCAAACGTATCGAACCACGTGACCGATCCGCTCAATCAACAAGTTCTGGCGCTCAGCACCGGTCAGCGGATACCGACGCAAACAGCTGCGAAAAGCGCGCGTCCCGGGAGATTGGGTCCATGCTGCGAAGGATTGGAGACGAACTTAACAACAGCAGATTGAGCCTCAATTCCATCATTTGAAATGGCACTCAAGGCATAAGATGAGATTAAGTGCGAGGCGTGGTCGGTGACGAATCGAGTCTGGAAAAATGAAGGTTAAAATTTTCAAGAATTTGCTGTAAGAGGCGTGATAGCCAAGAACGCTACGGACAAACGCTGATAGTCACTGTTAAGTTCACTTTGTGCGGGTGAAAAACGGAGTTGCTTTGTACATTAGGCTTTTAACTCAGATGATTCCGATTTAGTGAACTCATAATGAATCGTGTAAATACCGTTTTGTGAGAAAATAAAAAAAAATCGATCACTCAAGAATGTACTATAAAGTTCGCGTTCGTAATGAATCTCTAATTCACTATTTTTCGTTGTAGTTTATACGCACAATATAGTATCGTTAAGACTAAGGTTAGGTTGTAAAATTGTAAATATCTTGCTACCACTAAATCCACCATGCACAACTAGAGAGGATAGGATTACAATCGACTGTTTTTGAACCAATAATTAACATAATGAAAAAGATACACATTATTCTTTTCATCCATACGTTTGGAAAGCATTTTAAAATAATGGGTTGGCTTTAACTGATCAAGATTGTTTCTTTAAATGTCACTATCTGTGATTCATATCATATACGCTGAGATAGAAGACATCTCGTATATTTGAGGAGTTTTGAAATAAAAAAAGAAATACAATCTTATTAGAAAATCAACCAAAAACAACAGAACTACCCGACTGTAGTACACAGTCAGTTGATTCCAATCAGGTTTCCACCAGATCTACTCTATGAAGATGGCAATTTAGCCAAGAAACTTGCACATCCTCAACAAAGACGATGCAGATCTTTAACCTGTCATTTTTTGTCACCAAATGCATTTTTCCATTTGTCAGCATCTTCACCCTGAGGTTGCAGCTGAATAAACAATGCATTGGAAGAACTATATAACACTTTGCCATCTGGAGATCTTAATTCTGCCAAAGCATAAACCTTTCTTCCTTCCACTTTGTCAACCCAAGATTCAACAAAAGCAGTCGCACCAAGGGGAAGAAGACTGTTTTAAGAAATGCAACAAATCTCATCACAATTTTGAATTTTAAACACACAGTTCTACAGCATTGAGGCTGCATAAGTGATTTTCTGGTGGTAAATCTCTAATCACCACATTCTTGTTCAAACAAGACTAGTAAATGTTGGATTTTGTAAGTTGTTCCAAGTGTAAGAAGTCCTGAAAAGGACTGTTGTGTCTGATAATGATCAGCATTCCCTAACCTTCACAGTATCAATTCAATCAAAGTAAACTTCTGGCTTGCACACCCTAGTCACCTGGTTGCCACACCTCTCACTTCAAATCACTACAGCCCTTAATGCTATAATTTCTATTTGATTCTCAAACCACCACTCTTCAGATCTGTAACCAGTTCACTAACACTACCCTAAATAGAGGATGTGCTCCAGAGAGAGTAAATCTAAACACAGTTGTACAATTTAAGTATGGAGTACTTTGACCAACAGAATAAGCAAGCCAGTTAGTCTGAGAAGGCTATAAGTGTTTGACTCTTTGATTCAAAGTCCGACATGCAACTTCACATGGCTAGACTGACTTTGTGAGCTTGATCAATATTTATGAGGGTTGAAATACAAAGCTACAACTGTCTGGCATATGGGGCAGGTGCACACTGGTATCACAAGTTTATGCAAATAAATTTAGGCTACAACTCTTTCTAACAATGATATATCATCATGGGAAGCAATCTTCCCATTACTCTTTAAAGCTGAATTTTACACTTGAACTGTATTATTCAATAACTTTCTGAGCTATCACGATTAAAAAAAACCCTACCTTTTGTAATTCATGGTCAAAGAAGCTGTCACACAACCAGGAAATGACTTGTTCACACAAACACCAATGGCAGAATCCATCATGGTAGCACTTGCACCACCATGTACACATCTACAATAAGTTCAAATGTTGACATCAAATTATGAAAGCTCAATTGTTCTGCAAGGTTGGTGTTTAACACCAATTCCTCTGACCTGACACCCATTTACATCTACATGTAGTTCCCTTGGATGGAACATAAACCATCTGGAGAAGCCAGGGACTTTTTGCC